TTTCCCGGGCTTGTTATAAAAATATTATGGCGAAATTTTAAAAATACTTGCTCTGCCATAGAAGTTTCATTGTGTCTATATTTATTGTCGATAAAAATCGTAAAGTCCGGTTTTTTTATAGAGAGAGGGGCGTTCACCTCGCTTCTGGCGTGACAAGTGCGGCGGATTGTCGTAGGTTGTTGTCATTATGAAAATTAGGCATTTAGCTAGACAACCAGTTGTCTATAGGTTAGTTGTCTATACGGTGTGCATTTTGCAGGAGCTTAATGGTAGCTTTTATTCTTATTTATAACTTGAAAGGGTTGGAGAACTTCATATTATACCTCTATATATAAAAATCAATTGTCCGTTAGTCTCGCTAAAACTCAAAAACTGCGCGACCAATTTTGATGAAATCTTTTGTGTGTTTGAATGGATCCTTAGATCGTTTAAATTTACATTTTGGTCCGATAGGTGGCGACGTTATTGAGATCCAGAAACTACCCGTCAGAAGCCGGGGCGGTTCGCTTGTGTGTGATAAAAAGTGTTTGAACATTACTATGCATAAAAAGAGTTTAAAAAATAAATGGATAATGTATTTAGTATATAAATTCTGGTTCAGAATTTATCTACTAAATACATTATCCTATATTATATAAAAATATTCGATGAAGTAACATATTTGTATTATATTATACTGTATTTTTAGCTGATTTTTTTGTAATTATTCTACGCTACACTTTTTCTTAATTATGAACGAATGATAATAATGATTATATTTTTATGATATAGGCTTCAAGATATTTAAAATTAAAGAAATGTATACCTAATGATGAAGTTTTTTCTGTAATTTTTAGGAGAATTTACTTACCTTGAGCTTGTGAGCCCAATCAGAAGTGCTTCTGAAGTCGGTGCTAAACGTAATGTTTTGAAAAATCTAAGCCCCAACTGCAGAAGCTATCATGTGGAAATCATTCACTCTATTTTTTTGAAATCCATTTTTATTCTATATATTTTTTTAATCTGTTTCTTTACTTTAATTTTTGGGTTACCTTTTATTAGCTTTAATGTACTTGATATAAAACGATTATTCGTGTATCCCTTATATATGAGATTGATATAAAAATGAGAAACAAAAAGAGAGAAAAATATAGTAATTTTTTATGCGACTTAAAAAAGTTTTGTATATACGTTACGCAATGTCTATGTCAATTTTATATTGATTTTCATGATTTTTTCTTTATTAAGTTAGTTATTTATGAGTACTACCTTATAAATCTGGAGAAAAAATTCTACCGCTAAGGTTGGAAAAATACGAGTGAGGTTTTTGACGTTGATTCCTTCGTCCACTCAAAAGGATATAGATAGTGTATAGAAGAATGAAAGCTCCGACTTAAAAATGTGAAATTATTTTATCATTTTTAGTTCTTTGAAATGAGTTTTTTCTTTTTACTAAAAGTTATTTTTTAAAATAATGAGAATATTTATTATATGTATTACTGTAATTAAAAAAACATCACGATTTATCTAAATTAAAATGTTACTTACACTTAACATCTAATAATGTTTTCCAAATGTTTTTTTTAATATTAGTAAATCAAGGTATATTCAGCGCGTAATACAAATTCTAAAGTTTATACAAATCATAAAATAAATCATAACCGTAATGTAAAACAATTAAACCTGAGAAAATGTTTTTAAAATCATGTAACAGCTATAAACTATCGTACACGCATTTTTCATCCGTTTTATCGAGTAGAACAATAACTTTCGCGGGTGTTACAACGTCGTTACGTGTGCGTATGTTTGAGAAAAAAACTGGAATTACGGCAGTTACTGCAACACGCTTAAGCTGTTATTTCATCGATTGCCCGCACGAGTTGCTTTAGTGAAGATATTATACGAGAGTTTTATCGCTTAAAAGTAGTTTGAATGTTTGTTTAGCGATACTTTTTTTATACGTAGTATGAAGGGTGACAAATTAGCACACAGTCCACTTGATTAATAAGTGGATGCTGTGGCCCGTAGACATTTATATCTGTCCCCGATTAAGAATCTAAATTTAGATGCGTTGTCAGCCCTGGGAACTAAGATGAAATGCCTTATTTTCAGTGAAAAGAGTGTCTCTATTCTCTACACTCACCATACGTAACACAGCTGCATTAAGCTCCTATTTCACGTTGGTATTCTGTGAGAGCGTGGTCCTACCCCGGTCGAGCTGACTCACTCCTCCTACAATCATAATAGCTGCAGCGTGGCTATACCACGTATGAAAATTATACGGACTAAATTTTATCTTTAAATTACATGAAAGATTTTGCAAAAAAAATCCAAAAGAATTTCATATAGACAGCTTAAATAGTTGCAACTCCTGTTAATATACCTTTATAAACGTAGAGTCAAAGAATTAAATTAGATTTAAAAATAGCTCAAAGAAGTAATTTCACCTTCTTAGAGCGGCATATTCTTTTTATAATGTATAAAGTATTGGACCCAGAGCGGCCCTAGAGCAGAATTTATAAACCTGTAGAATGTGATTCCAAACTGACAGCGGCCTTAATGAGCGACGGTTTTCTTTTTACTGAATTATATTGCAAAAAAGTAAGGGCAGAAATATGATCAAATTATACGATAACGTTTTACTTAAGCTCAATATTTTGATAAAACTGCCAAGCGAAAATAGTATTTAAGAAGAAATGTTTATGTTGAGTGTAGAGAACCGGAGACCCATTTTACTGGAAATGAGGCATTCCATCTTAGTCCTCAGGGGTGACAACGCATCTAAATTTTGATTCCTAGTTGAGGATAAATGTAGACGTCTATGGGCCACAGCATCCACTTACCATCAGGTGGACTGTGTGCTCGTTTGTCACCCTTATTTTATAAAAAAAATCATCCAATAAAACAACAACTTATGATAATTGAAATTTATTCACATGCGTGTAAGATTTTTATACAATATATAGAAATATCTGTCTACCTGTCGCAGTAATTGCGTTTTATGACTATAGCATAAACGCCTCAGTAGGGAAATGACAATGTTAGCACAGAACACCGCCGTGAAATGTCAGAATAACGCTGCTAAGATTCGTGTGACGAGTGATAAGAAGATCCTTTTTCATATTCACTGGTACTGAAGCATACCATCTTAGTGATCAGGACGACATCGCATCTGCATTTTGATTCTTAATCGAGATTAGATGTATGTACTCATCATCGGGAAGTCGTTTTGTACCCTTATTTCTATTAAAACAAATGAAGACAGAATCGGTTAAAAAAGATACATGGACAATGTTAGTTTTTTTTTTAAATTTATATATTTTCGATAGTATAATTTATTATACGTTGTAGAACCCTGCTGCAGTTATATATTTTTTTACATTTTCTCATGAGGAGTTGGTATCGGTAGGTATACAATTCCCTATGGTTTTCGAATTTTTGTTGAAATGAGGGTTTCTATTTGGTACACTTTTTGGCTTTGATTTTCGTTAACATTTAGTTTTGATATCTTTTGACAATGGTTTTCATAATATATTTTAATGATTTACATTTTCCGATAAGAATTTCATTTATGTTTTACGCAATACAATTGGAAAATTAATTTGTTTAATACTAAATACAAGTATACTTATCCATACATACATACATAAATATTTGTATTATAGACTACCTTATTAGAATTAATAAAATAGGAATTACTATTTACGTAGATTATCTTATTTATATTTTTAGTGTGATTTTTCTTGAAATTACTTAGGAGGCATATAATGCTCAATAATTTACTAAAGCTGTATTGTTGCAAAATTACAATATAGCTGCAGTTATATTAGTATTATAGTTGTACCACGAATGTGTCGGCTCGACCGGGGAAGGACCACGCTCTCACAGAATACCAGTGTAAAATAGTAGCTTAATGCTTCTGTGTTTCGTATGGTGAGTGTAGAGAACCGGAGAGCGGAGACCGATTTTACAGGAAACGAGGCATTACATTTTAGTCCTCACGGATGACAACGCATCTGCATTTTGATTCGCAATCGAGGATAGAGGTCTATGGGCCACAGCAAGCACTTACAATCAGATGGACTGTGTACTGGTTTGTCACCCTATCCTATAAAAAACGTTTATTATTTTTATGACTTTTTTTTATAGAATAAGGTGACAAACGATCACACAGTCCACCTGATGGTAATTGGGAGTGGATGCCTCGATTAAGAATCAAAATACAGATACGTCGTCACCCCTGAGGGTTAAGAAGGAACGCCTCGTTTCCAGTAAAAAAAGGTCTCCGGGTCTCTACAATCACCATACGAAACACAGCAGTATTAAGCTGCCATTTTAAGCTGGTATTCTGTGAGAGCGTGGTCCTGCCCCGGTCGAGCCGACCCATTCGTGCTACAACCATAATAGCTGCAGCGTGGCTCTCCCACGTGTAATTTAAGGTTATTGTGTTAATTTTCGTCTATAACATTACTTGTATCATTTATAAACTAGCAACCTGTCCCAGCTTCGCGTGGATAACATCTATTAGTGTTGCGTAATTTAGATTTATCATAATGAAAGACTAAAACAAATATATTTTATCAAATTTTCCGTTTGAAAAATCTTGTTTCTCTGATAAAATATGACCTTGATTGCTCTTGGCGTTGCTCGCTATGTGTTCTTAAAGTTTCATCACAATAGATTCAGCCATTCCATAGATCAAAAATTTTAAAATTGTTATGTATATCATAAAAGCATGTAAATAAAGAGCTTAATAAAAGCCAGTGATTTATAGTATAGTACAGATTCACTACGCTTTTACTTCGAGTTGTTTCGTTTTGTACAAACATTTCCTACCGAGTTTATTGTCGTCGAGCCGCAAGCGAACAGGCAATTGTCAAGTGAAGCGGAACGGCCGGTGCATTTTTATCACTGCGAATCTAAACTTGCTTTCTAAACACTAAATTAGTATCTTAAAGGTTGGGAATTAAACTACATTGCACAGACTGGTTTAGAAACTACGTACTTCTGGCTAATGTGTTCTATGCTGATATCTTTAAAATTAAGTTAGTTTTGTATTCTCCATTGAAGCGACAGTGGTCGCTAAGTATCCTAAACGGAACAAAAAAAATTTTTTTTGTTGATAGTTATGAATAGTTATGAACATTTATATAGATAGATATATATAAAAAATATATATATATATATATATATATATATATATACTAATACGCTTTTACAACAAAATCTAAAGTTTATATAAAAAGGGTTACTATAATATTAAGAAATTTATGGGTAATAACCCCTGGGAAAGGTGACCACTAACCAAGCTATTTCTAATTTGTTTTGTGTTGTTAATTGTAACTAACATACAGGATTGTAAGCTGTTATTTTTTTAAAAGTCCCTCTGGTTTTCTTCTTGGTTTTTCCCAGGACAGAGATATTTTCCGAACCAGTGGTAAATTAAAAAAAAGTGCTTTCAATAAGTATTATTTATAATCTATATTGAATAATAAAGTTTCTGTTTCCACTATTAGTAATGTCACTAGTAATTTTTTATAAATGAGGGAGAGAAAGTATAATGGATAATTGCTGTATCGTTCGAGATAATTACTCACATTAATGTCCTCCAGTCCTTTGATAGAGTGACGACCTGGTAAGACTTGCAGGAAGTCGATGGATGTAGGTGGATCAGGATCGTGTTTTGTGGTATTCCTTGGAGGAGGCCTATGTTCAGCAGTGGAATTTTAAAGGTCCGTAATGTTGATAGTAATAAGGAATATCCTCCAGACGAATTTCGGTCACAGTATGAGTGTATGCACAGGTACACTCTATTCCCTCACTCTTATAGTCTTATGGAACGGAAATTAGGAGAAAGATCAGATGCAGGACCAACCGCTTTACGTGCTTTCCGAGGCACGAGGAGTAAACCCCTCCAACTTTCTGACTCCGTGCTGCTTCTGCAAACTTCTCAACAGAAAAATCATATAACTGATTTTGGCATAACCCAGGATTCAGATCTTTCTATTGGCGGTATAAGCATATAGGTAACAATTTAGGGGCAGAGTCAAAAGAGCAAAACGACTAGTAGTGCGCTTGTCAATCCAACTTAGTCATGCAGATTAAGGTGAATTTTCCTTACTATGGAAGAGATGAGAGAGCTGTGGTAGTCGCTGAACATATCACAGTACGTGAGGTGGGGATCGAATCCTTTGTGGGTTCGATTGATCCTCGCCAGCACCAAAGAAATTGCTAATTATACTCGTAATTTTAGTGCTGAGATTTCACGTGCACGGCGATGAAGAAAACCATCGCGAGAAAACCTAGATGTCTGAGAAATAAGAAAAAAATTTTTCGAAGACATGTGAAGTTTATCAACACGCATTGGGGCAGCGCAGCGGAAATTTTCTTGCCCTAAAACCCTCTCAGAAATAAGAGAAGGCCTGTGCCCAGTTGTGGGACGTATATAGACTGTAACTTTAACGGGGAAGGACCATATAAGGTAGTTAACTTTTACCTATATATAAGGGCTGAATAATAGGAAGAAGCTTTCTAATTCCTAACGATTAGTCTTATCCTCCACTTCTTTGGAAATGGGCCCCCTAATAAGGATGGATACGCGTACTATACTAATACTAAACACTCGCTGCCCGCGGTGCTATAAAATGGGGAAGCAGGAAGTCGCCTGTTGCGCTCTCTATCGCATTTACGGGCCTCACGACAAGCCTGCCTGCTCCTTTTTTTATTGCACCGTGGGCAGCGAGTGTTCAACATTACTATAGATGATGATACTGCCTTTTTCTGTCGAAGGTCATATGGTCTTTCTGGTATATCCTCAAATCGCCACTTACGGTACCCATATAATGTAATTCGGCAATGGATTCCCTTTCGCTGATAAGGCAATAAAATAACCATACGGCATCGCAATTAAAGGTGACAGTTACGCTAAACAAATTAACCGGAATAAGCAGAAAGAAACCGGTCAAAAGCGACGTCAAGAATTCGAACTAATCTCGGTTTCGTTATCAAGTTAGAGACTTGACTGACTGGACTAAAATATGCTACGTGTCGAACCGCCGTTATCGTTAGATACGAGTACATTACAGCATGGCATTTTTAAACTTGGCTTTAACCCTTAATTTGGCAAGGCAATTTATTTTTAATTTTTATAGAAATTTCGACAAATATCAATTAAGTAACTTATTTAGCATCCTAAAAAAATATTAAAAAAAAAAATGAATCTTGTAGTTTTCTGAAAATCCACCGTATCTAGCAGGATACATCGCCAAATACGGACATAATGATATGCAACTGACAGTGTATCTGTAGAGATACATTGCCAAAATTAGGTTCTGAAAGAAAAATAAAACAAATCGAGAAAAATGTTTAATTTTTAATATGGAAATCGAAAAAACAGTTTCTGGCTTTAGTCAGACATAACCTTGTTCTACATTTTGAGCAACAAATGCTAGTTTGACCCGTTTTACAGAGGCGACAACGACCTTTCTCCTCGAAAATTGGCAGGTGATCTGCTCCATCATACCTTGTGTCATCGAATGGTCGAGGGACTACAGGTTTTTTTATTTTTTGGTTACAATACGGAACATCATGGTGCTCTATCGGTTTGGATGCCAATGATAAAAAAATTTGGCATCGAAATTCTTTAAGTGACATGGTTTTCTTGAGATTTTTCTGGACACAATATCTTCGATATAGAATCCATCCGTTATTTACGCTGATATCTAGCATATGAGCAAAAATGCCCATATACCACCTGCGACTTTTCATTTGGGTTCTATAAAGGGCTATCAACATGTCTGCCAAGTCAACACCTCCCATATGCATGTTATAAAATTTTACAACCTGCGGACAATCTACATTCGTCCGCGTTTTCAGTTCTTTAGAATATCTATTTACTTTGCTAACTGGATATGCGTCAGCAAATGAACAGGCCAAGGTAACTGGCTTATTATCTAACCACTTTACGACTGAAACTTTATTGCGATTACAAACTATCTGCCAAAATGATCCCCGACCTTTTCTTTTTAGCACTTTATCTGTATCCAATTTCTCTTGACATCCTCGCAAGCGGTTAGCCTTTACAGTACCAAGGCTGAATATTCCCAGCTCATTTCTCAAGTACACTACTAGCTCGAGAGACGTGTAGTAGTTATCGAAATATACAAAGCATGGCCTTTTTTTTAATCGATTGACAGAGAGCCACTACTACTTTACCTCCAAACCCTAACGAATGTTCCTCTGAGCTGAATTGTATACCGCGGAAGGTATCGTCACCCCCCGTATAAAAGGAAGTCGTAAACATATCCAGACACTCCACTTCGTACAAAAGCTTTGAAGCCCCACTTCTTTGGTTTTTTTGCATTATATTGACGCCTGTTGCCAGCCTTTTTACCTTTGTAAGGAAGAGTCATCTCGTCAATGCTAAATCTGTCCTCTTCTTCAGCAACACGTAAGCAGTTTTGTCTTACACTTTCAATTACAGGTCGAACCTTTTGGTATCTATCCGTACTCGGTTCATTATTATCAGCGAAGTGAATAAATCGCCGGATTAGCTGATATTTCTTCAAAGGCATAATGTCTGCAATTGGCGGATACCTCAATCGCGAACTCCAGTAATCTAAATAACACGGCATTCTTACAACCCCCATAAGAATGTGAATAGCCACAAAATTTTCAATGTCTGGCTTCGTTATGTTAGCAGAGCGACCTGTTTTTTCTACAGAATACACATTACTTTGATGTACAATTTCAGTAATGATTTCATCGGAGAAAAACAGTCCAAAGTACCTTCGTGGAGAAATGTCTTCAGGAGGTGGATCTGTAAATAAAACTGGTTCTATGGAAGCACTGTGGGAAAAGCGTGTTTTTTTCCAGTGGAAATTTAATTGTTGTTGTTTTGTTCTTTTTACTAGTAGTCGGGGATGCATGTCTCGTCCGCGCTTTCTAGACCTCGTGCATATTTGACCACGTGATGTAGATGGAGTAACTGGCACAGGTAAAGCTGGTGACGGCAATAATGGAATCGAACTTATAGAAGGTAAAGAATTGTAATCAATTTTGTCATTGGAAGGAAATACAGCATTCAATACAGGAGAAAGCGCTACATCAAGGATCGAAGTTGAATTGCATCGATCGTGAGTCACAGAAAGTGCAGCTGGTGTTACAGAAGAGGGATCTTCGTCATCGCTGTCAAGTATATTCATTCGTTCGAGTGACGAATCCACGGACGGCGGAGAAGAACTAAAACAGTCTTCATCTGGAGGTTGGAAGAACTCCTCTTCTTCAACGTCTGACAGCTCACTACCATCAGACTGTGCATTTCTTTCAGGTAATAGTGCAAAAATGCGGTTACACCTAGCCCGTTGAAGTATCTATGGACAATAAAATAAAAAAACATATGCAACCAAAAACCAAACCCAAGCAAAAATAAAATAAAAGACACCATAACACGAAAATACTACATAAAAAATCAGACAAATTCATAAATCAGATATTAATCTTAGATTTGGCGGGGCGGGGGTTACTCCCACAGCCATAAAATATAGTATTATGTATTAGTATTAGTATAAAATATAACTTCAAACGTCAAGCGTTGTTTTACTAAGTTTTGACGGTGTATCCCCTCAGATACATTATTATGTTACACGACTTAGCCGGGTTTTTGGCAATGTATCTGTGTGGATACAATTAGGTTAGAATGCATACTAGGGTCTAGAAAACACATTTCAAGACAAGATTTTTATCGAAATTATTAGTTTAGTTCAATACAAAAACATTGCAATGAATATTTTGTGTCAAAAACTATAAAAATACAGATAAAATCGATATTACTTACAGATGGCTTGCTCCCATGACGCGACATCTTCGCAGAATGACATAACTAGGGATGGGAATGAGTCGAAAATGCAGTTTATATTTTTTTTAGTGTTGTTACTTAATCCATCTTTAAGATAAAATCGATCGATTTCAAATAAAATGTTTATATATTGCTGAAGATTTTTTTAAATGATTTGTATCTTACAGTACACATTACCAAATTAAGGGTTAACGTAAAAATTAAGAAGCCTGTTATTACATCTGACATTTCATATATACCGTTAAGCCCTCACGGCGTAATGAAATGGTCCATCTAATTCCAGGCTTAAACCCGATCTCAATTAATATCATAGATCAGCTTATTACCATAATATATAAAAGGCATTGAAAGTTATTCCCAGCGCTCACTCCACTGTTATTATAATGATATGCGAGGTACTTTTTGTTTCATTTAGCAGACGTGTGCTTCTTAGCATGTGTCTCTATTTGTGCTTTTTTTTACAATGTCAGACAAGTCTTTTTAATTTAATGTCACCATCGTTTTGAATTATGTATCAAGAGTTGTAGGATAGAATCGTATTAATCTGCTGCCGAAGTAGCTCTTAAGTAGTTACTTCAGGCTTATTATATCGACACACTACGTCAAGAAAAAAATATTACTAGCATTACTGACTTCCAGGAGGGTATTGAATATGTCTGTCTAGAATTGTAACCAGGAATTTTGTTGTATGAATTCAATTAGGTAAATATTGATTTTGTTTTTAATTTTAGACCTAATTGTATTCCAAAAAAAAATTAAGTACAGACTTTTGCTTGTAATTTATAAACAACTACGAGTAGTTATCCGTCCCGGCTTTGCACGGATGATTCCTGGATCCGACAACAGCGCCACCTACCAAGTCCTACTACATCTAAGAACCATCTAGGTGACTCCATAAGTACCACATAAAAATCGAAACAGAAGCAATCAAAACAAAGCTTATCTAAAATACTAAAAAGAGAATATTCGGATGCTGGCTGCTAAAATATAGGAAGAGTTACAACAAATCATAGATTGACTAGCGACAGTAGCTTTTTTTTGTGGGGAAATCCTCATGGATACCATTCGTTGTGGGGGTAACGAGAAGGTTACGCTGGACTCCTACCGGCTAAAACCTCACGGTAGTCACCATCAGTATATACGAGGGGTCCCGGGATCTCCGTTCGGAACGCAACTGGAGCCCTTCCATCGCTTTGCTACACTAACAGCACGTCCTGGGGGCAATACTTGCTGCCCCCCGCACCCTCGCAGTGATACCACGATGTCTCGAGACCACTTCCGAGTCATCGTCCTCCTCGGGAGTTACATAACTAGGCGTTCGAGGCCCCCGCCCCGAGCGTCTGCAACCCCGGAGGCTCCGTTTCTGGTAGGGGAACACCGTTTTCAATAGGAGAGCCGTGACGAACGCCTTGGCGACGTCGTCTCCGTGCGGGATTCGCCCTTTCCCGATCCCGCTCAAAAGCCTCCTTCCGAATCATAACGGATTCACGGAAGGTGGCTACGGCCCTCCACCCCGAATCTCCGCTCAGCATCACCGACACGACTGCTGGTGAGGAGAGTTTGCAGTTTACCAGACGCGGTTTACCACAATCGTCCACTCTCGTTCTCACGCTGGGCATTCCATGAGCGTGTGGGAAGCAGAGTCCTGGCCCAGTCCTCCGCAGTGGAAGCAGTTCGGCGTCACCTCGCGTCACACAGGTACACAGGTAATCACCGAAGCACCCGTGCCCGGTAATTATTTGTGTACGTCTGTAGGTGAGTCTTCCCACTCGTCGCTGCATCCAGGCTTAGAAGACCGGCAGGATTGCTTCAATGACGCGTTTGCGTTTATAGCGTTCCTCGAGTCGAGTGCGCCATGTCGTCAGTGCGTTTTGCCGTTCCTGCCGTTTAATTGATTCGAGTGTCTTTTTTTGGCTCACTACTACCGCTCGGGCGAAGGGCTCGAATCTGAACGTACATCCTCGCGTCCAGCTCCGCCAGTATATCTAGTTGTGGAAAGCGAGCCAGGATTGTCGCCGCTTCAAAGGATGCAGTATACTCGTACGATCCGTATGGGCATCCTCCGCTGCACCAGTAGTCTAGGTTAGGGGTGCGGACTGCAAGTAGTGGGTTCGAATCCAATAAAAACGAGAGTATTAACATAATATTGTGTCCATTAATGTAATATTAATAAATGAATGAATTAAGGTGAAATACAGCTTGCTTTATATACAAACTTAAAAATTTATCAGTTACGGAATAGATTTAATACTATATTTATGAATTTTATCGCGTATATTACCGTATTTTACATTCCCGTTGTTTCAAGTACCTGGGATTCGACCACTAGACGAGTCTATTCCAGGTCTATTCCGTAACTGATAAATTTTTAAGTTTGTGTAATAAGCAAGCTGTATTTCACCTTAAACTCTCGGTATACGGGGTTATTTTGCAATAATCGGCCAAATTTGCAGAGGATGTTCAGAATATTGTACAAATAAACAAAATATTTGACAAATAAACAAAACGTGTAACAAAATAAAATACATAAAAAAATATTACTCCTCCGGTACGAAATATATCAGTATATCGGATAAGTGACACAATAACAATCACGTTTTTACTTCACTATTCCAGGTAAACAATATCAAAAACTACCTTCTCCACAAAAAAAATAGTTTTAAGAAATACATATTATAGATTTTATATAAAATTTTTATGCCAAAAATTTTTTTAATATTTTGTAGCACAATTGTTACATAGCTACTTTATATTTAGTTAAAGTAATAAGTTAATTCCAATGTCATTTAAAAAATAAGCTTAAGTAAATTAATGTATAAGAGCAAACTGTGCAGTGCCAAGACAAACAATAGATGTTTAATGGCACGAAGAAATTGATTTTGTAATTAAAACGGTTACTTTGTTGAATAAATTAAAAAAAGTAAAATAGGCAAATGGTGAAGAAAAATTAATCAAAAAAATCTCAAATTTTTTTTAAATATTTTATATACTATAATAAATACATATTACATTTACTGCGACGCCACATTCTAGGGTCGATCGGTAGGCGAAAACGTTGTTGCCTATATATGACATTCAATTTGGTATAATTTAAAATAAACGTAGCAGAATTATCTACTCGTATTTTCAGAAGCTGTATATCATTATATGTTATTATATTATTAAAATAACTCTGTATACATGTGTGATTTACAAAATATATAATAAACAATTTTTTTTTGTCTTTACATATACTCTACAGAATATTGAAAAAGGTACATTAGAATTCACACAAAATTCACAGCTCATCCAGGTAGTCTGGCAGTAATTATTTGTTGGCAACATTTAAAATTCTTTAGCGACAAACTCTACTCATTGCGATTGTTCGAGGTTTGACAGTTCGAAACTTTGTCCAAAGCAGTCCAAGGTTTAACCATTAACTATTAAGTGTTTGACATTGGCCTTAGAGTAACATAAATACTTAATCTGAGACATTGGCAGTAAAACGTAATAATTATATAGGTATTCTTTGATTGGCAGTACGAACATGGAGAAACGACATAATTTGTCTTTTGACATTGGCAGTACAAAACGTCAACAATGTATAGTTGCCGACGCGAGTCGTGAGCACAGATAAACTGTGGTGGGAGGTAGGTACACTCTCGGGCAAAATTATTGGGTACCTTTTTATTTCAATTCGTAATTGAATATTTTCGTCGACTTTTATGAAAATGTTTACTCGAACACATCAACTTTACTTTGATACAGTAATGTTGCAGATATTCGTGTAAGTTATTTTATTATTTACTATAAAGTATTTAATGTATACCTGGTGGTTAGAATTGATTATTTTATTAAGAGGAAGGAAGAGGTGATATGCCTTCCATAAAATCTGGTGTTGCGGTGTGCCGTACAGTAGCTACTAAGACATTAGTCGCCTCGGCAGTCTGTTTATATATACGTCTTTGATGTTTTTCGCAGTACCCAATTTTTTCATGTAACTAAACACTGAATAGACCATTTGTCGGGATTGTCTATTTAACACCGAATTCTTCCTTCTGTGCATATTTAGACCAAAATCTGAACACTCAAATTATAACAACAAAAATAATTAAAAACAAGAAATAACAAAAACAATTAATAACAAGGAATACACAAACAACAATTAACAACGAGGTAAGAAAAACAATTAACGAAAATAAACTAATTAAAAAGTTATCACTAAAATTATTGCTCTCAAGTGTACGGAAGCCGAATGATACGTTCGAAACCAATAGACGACTAGAATCGACTGACGAACCAATCACGTTGAACGTCAGCGTGGTCAACGTCGTATCGACCAATAAAAAGTGTGCTCACGACTTATGTCGGCAATTATATGTTTTATTTAATTCAATGTATTTCTAACACATATTTTTAAAATAAATATTTGGTCTGAACTCATTTTCTATATTAACTTTAACTATGCCAAATCTCAAACTTTTTCATACGCAATAAGCTTAAAAAGGCATACACAGTTTTCTATTTACATATCAATATATAGAAGTAGGTATATATGAAATGAAAAGGATAGAAAACATCCAGCTTAAAAATCTTTTGATGGCCTTATGGAGCATTGTTTATTGTCAAAGTACAGAGAAAGTTTCCAATCCGGACGTTGCGTACGGAGCTTTTAACGCATCATCAATTCATTTGCATGTCAATGGAATGAAATTGAATATAATTTCTTCGGCCGCTGTGATAATTTGGACTCTGATGTGAGTTTTGGTTCAGGATGTTTATTTTTGACGTACTAGTGTGGTATAGTGTTCAGAACGCCATGTTACTAACCTCAGCAAGAAGCAACCTTTTTTGAAAAAAATTGTTAGTTTTGGTTTATAATTTTTCAAAGAACCAACAATACGCCTTTATAATAGAATAAGGGTGACAAACGAGCACACATTCCACCTGATGGTAAGTGAATGCTCTGGCCCATAGACATCTTCATTTATCCTCGATTATGAATCAAAATGCAGATGCGTTTTCAA